CCACTAGCATCTTTCGTTAGTGTGGTACATTAGTTAGCATTGATGAGCCAATATCAATACGTTATTATTATTTTATTAATCAAATGAGGGTTAGGCTCACCCTCTGTGTTGTACATTCTGTGGCTCTTGAAAAACGTATAAGGACTTGACACTCAACCACCCTCTTTTTGTTTCACGTGACCCTTTGTCGTATCCTAGTCTTGAAGGCTTCCTTCCTCCTGTTTTAAGACTGTCCTTCTGCAATAGCCGTTTTTAAAGTTTATTTTTCAATACCGTTGACAGTCAGTATTATTTCGTCGTAGTTCAGGTGTCCAGCATAGTGGTCAGACAGTCCTATGCTGTACAAAGTGACCCCCCAACATTTCCAGCGCCCACCTGGCCCTGTACGTAGGTATGTAATAGCCTCTGGAGTCTTTGCTCCCGGTGGGTGGGGAAGGGCCAGTGCTGGGGAAGGGTCCTTCTGGGTTGTCCTGGTCCCCCCCACCCCCAGATCCTCACCCCACGCCGGGCTCAGCACCCTCCTGCCGCTTTTGTCCCCCTGTCCCAGCATATGTGCCCGTGAGGCGAGGAGGGGCTGACTCAGCTGCCCATTGATCCCCTAACGGCTGGGCCCAAACAGTATTAATAGTCAGCTAGTCCCCGTGAGACTGAGAGGTGACGAGGCAAAGCCGGGTAGGCCCCCTAGGGGAAAGGGGGTCCCGTGCTCCTCACCAGGTTCCCCTCCTAATTGGAACCCATGTCCTTTCTTGGAATGTTCTGGCAGGATACAGTATTTGAAAGGAACAGCTGAGTGGGGGTGTGGGGTGAGGCAGGGGCCACCTTGGAAGCAGGAGGCAGGGAGGCTGCCACCAGGCCCTGGTGTCCCCGTGATGGGCCAAGAGTGGGTGGCAGTGCGGAGTTCAGGGGGCCCAGTGGAAGCATGCACGGGTCGTTTTATGCTGCTGTGGCCTCGTGTCTGCCCCGGGAAGTCAGCATTCCTGTCCCCGCTCGTGGCGACGACATGCACAGAGAGGCGATGGCAGGGACGTGCGGGTTCTCAGTGTGAGAACCGGCATCTCTTTCGTTGGAGCAGGAAGAGGCTGGATGCGGGGTCTCTCTTGGAACAGGCTGTGTTCCCAGGGGCCTATGGGGCTGCTTCCCGCACGGTCACCTGCTGGGCCCTGGAGCTGGAGGCCTGTGGGAGACATTTCCTGAGTGACAGACGGGAGCTGGGTTCCAGGTCGCCCGTGGCGTGGGGGCGAGGGCTCGTCCCCAGCCTGTGCCTGGCACGCAGGAGGGTGAGCGAGGGAGCTGGTCCCAGACCCACTGTGGGGCCGGTGGGACAGCTGCAGCAGGAGCCCCAGACCCTGTTTGAAGTGGCCACTGTGCCTCCCTGAGCATGTCTCCCTGTGTGTGCTGGGGACAGTCCTGCCACTGAGTCCGCGTTCCGCAGGTCTCCATCCAGCATTGTCATAGGCCGGAGACCCCTCCCAGGGCACAGTGGATGAGTGGATGACAGGCTCAGGGCAGGACAAGGGAAGCAGCGTTAGTGGGTGGGCAGGACGCAGCACCTGAGCAGGGACACTGAGGAGGCCAGCAGTTACCAGGGGCCACCATCACCACTGTCCAGTGTCAGGTAATTTCCATCAGCGGGCACCCGCCCGGCCCTGCTTTGATTTCTTCAAGCGGATGTTTTATTGGAGTAGAACCACCATTCAGGCATGTGCTCACCTCCTGGACCAAATGTTTGTGTCCCCCCCAGATCCACATGTTGAAATCTAACGCCCAAGGTGACGATACAGTTGACGCTTGAACAGTGTGGGTTGGAGCTACACAGGTTCTCTTATATGTGGATTAAAAAAATTGAAGACCTCAGGGAGACGGGTGCATAGGGCCCTGAGCCTTGACCTCGTCACCTGCCAAAGGAAGGGCCGAACATGGGTGCTTCTAGCTCCGGGCTCTTGGTTGCCTTCTTCCAGGGCTTATTTTGAGGGGATAGTTGGATCCAGCTTTTAGGAACCCCTGTTCTTCCGTCGGGGCAGCTTGGAGAGCTGCAGTCTCATCACGTCACTGAGTGTCGCGGAGCACGGCATCCTGTGCCCTGGGTTCCTGGGCTGGCCTTGCCAGCTTGTCCTGCTCCCCTCCTCGGCACAGGATGGACGCATCCATCCATTCATTCATCCAGTGTCTGCTGAGCGTCGATCAGAAACCCCTGCCCTCATAGAGCTTACTTCCCAGCGAGGGAAGGCGGGTGATGACCAAGATAAATAAAAGAAATGTCACGTGTTGGATGGTGGCAAGTGCCATAGAGAAGCAGCCAGAAGGGGTGGAGGACAGGAAGGGCGGTGGATGGGTCACAGCTCTAAGTGGGTGTTCAGGGCGGGCGATATATGAGCAGCATGGGGGAGAGGAGGGTGGGAGCCATGAGAGCAGCTAGGGAAATGGCCTGTGCAAAGGTCCTGGGGTGACACCTGTCTGGTGTGTTTAAGGAACAAGGAGGTCAGGTGGCTGGTGCTGAGGGAGTGAGGGCAGAGGGATAGCAGGAGAGGTCAGTAGGGGAGGTGTGCAGAGTGGGTGCCAGGTTGTGACATGATGGGTAGACGAGAATGAGAGGGCCCAGGGCCCATGCGTTTGACGTGGGAACCCCAGTATCTCTGCTCCCATTATCTTTTGTGGAAAGGAAACTGAGGCACGGGTAGGTTCCTCAGTCTTTCCAGACTGTACGTGGCAGAGCTAGGTTGGAAGCCAAGGTGTCTCTGGGGTCCGAGTGCAGGTCAGGGGGGCGCCATTCTGCGGGCTGCAGGCTGAGTGCTGGTGCCCCCATGTGTCGGGGAGGAAACAGTGTCACTTGCACACAGGATGGCTCTCTCCCTGCACCGCCACGTGCTCATGGCCACCCTTTCTTTGAAAAGGCTTTGTTTAGTGTATTCTGTAGTTTCCCCCCACCATGTGTAGCACACACGATTTTAAGATAAATAACCCAAATGGCACCAAGCCCTGGATCTCCTGTAGCATTTTGCTACTTTGGAAAAACAAGCTGGGAACAAACCTTGGAGAATGCGTTCCGTTTCCTGTCTGTGCAAAGGAAGCCTGAATATCAGTGCCACCGGCTCCCCGCCTCTTCTCCAAAACTGTGTGAGAAATACATCCCCACACTTGGGCCCCGGATCCTTAGTTACTGTGCTTGCTGACCTTCAGGAATAAATGGGGGGGCTCCCTTGAAAACTTGGGGAGACTCATGATCGACTTGGGGCTCTGATTTTCACAGTGTTTGGTGGTTTTGCAGAGCCCTGGAGTTCTGTTTTAGTGCGTGAGCCGCCCCTCTGATGAGTGACCCCCCCTTTGTTCATAAATGGGTAGCTTTCGTGTGCACCCCACTGACGCCCCATTTATGCCTCTCTCATTCCAGTCTCCGGAAGATTTGAGCCTTGCTGAACCTCCTGTGGACAAGCCCGCCGCCGAGGCCAGGACCATCCCTTGGATGCCGAGAGTCCGCTGGGGCCTGGACATTCTGGGTGAGTCGGGCCTGTAGTGGTCCCCACTGCGCTGTGGCGAACGGGCCAGTCCTGCGTGCATCTCAGCTCTGTGCTAAGTGGAAGCTGGGAGACCAGCGATGCATTTTGTTGCCTCAACTCTTTCTAACAAAAGCCTAAATGCCGCTACACTG